GGGTGGGCAGGTGACGCTCGGCGTCCTCTCCTCAGGGGCTGCCGACCGCTTCTGCTATGAGAAGCTGAATGTGGAGGGCACGGAGCGGGGGAACTGTGGGCGCAAGGGGCCGGGCTGGGTCCAGTGCAACAAACAGTGAGTAGCCAGAGCGCCCCGGCCTCCCTGGCTGGAGCGGGAGGAGACTCTTCGAAGATGGCGCAGAGGTTTTGCCAGGGGGTGCCTGTGGGTCCCCAGGGGAGGGCGTGTGAGAACCAGACGGCAGCTGCTGGGTCTGAGGGCGACTCGGGGCTCCTCGTCTCCACGCGCAGGGACGTGCTGTGTGGCTTCCTTCTCTGCGTTAACATCTCTGGAGCGCCTCGACTGGGAGACCTGGGGGGAGACATCAGCAGCGTCACTTTCTACCATCAGGGCAGGGAGCTGCACTGCAGGTGCTGGCTGGGACCCTGGCTGGGGAAGAGGCTGCGGCGGGATGGCGCTCGGGGATGGGGGCTGAGGCTGGCTGTGCGGCTTCCCCAGGGGAGGCCACGTGCAGCTGGCCGACGGCTCCGACCTGAGCTACGTGGAGGATGGCACGGCCTGCGGCCCCGACATGCTGTGCCTGGACCACCGCTGCCTGCCCGCCTCGGCCTTCAACTTCAGCACCTGCCCTGGCAGCGGGGAGCGCCGGATCTGCTCCCACCACGGGGTGGGCACCCAGAGCTGCGGGGGTGGGCAGGGCCTCCGACGGGGACGCCCCCTGCTCACCTGGCGGCCCTGCCACTCACAGGTCTGCAGCAACGAAGGGAAATGCATCTGCCAGCCAGACTGGACGGGCAAAGACTGCAGCATCCACAACCCGCTGCCCACACCCCCTCCCACGGGGGAGACGGAGCGATACAAGGGTGAGGATGCGAGTGGAGGAGCCAGGTTCCCCCTCATCGCGCCTGGCCCGCCAACCCAGCCCCTTCTTCCCCAGGTCCCAGCGGCACCAACATCATCATTGGCTCCATTGCCGGGGCTGTCCTGGTTGCAGCCATCGTCCTGGGTGGCACAGGCTGGGGATTTAAGTAAGAGACACCCACACCCCGTACCATCCCGGGCATCCTCAGGGGTTCAGGCACCCTCGCCTAGAGCTCACATGTCCTGGGCCCAGCCAGCCCAAGAGGTTCTTGTGTTAATGTGTAAAAACCAGAGATTTGACTCAGCATGGTGGCTCAAGCATATAATCCCAGCACTTTGGGAAGCTGAGGCAAGAGGATTACCTGATTCAAGGGGTTCGAGACCCGCCTGGGCAACTTGGCAAAACCATGTCTCTACAATAAATCAAAAAAATTAGCCAGGTGGCACACACCTGTAGTTCCAGCTATTTGGAAGCCTGAGGGGAAGGATCACCTGAGCCCAACAGGTTAAGGTTGCAGTAGCTGTGAGCGTGCTGCTGCACTCCAGCCTGGGTGACAGAGTGAGACTCCTACTCAAAAAAAAAAGAAAAAGAAATCAGATTTTCCATGAATAATCTTGATATCTGTCTTCCCTTGGAAAACGAGAAGACTGGGCCCCAGCGTGCCTATGCCTACCCCTGAGTGGCCACGAGTGACACTGCCCAGGGCTGCCAGAGGCAGGCATGTGTCCTCTGGTCCTCACCCCGCCTACGGTGCTCCATGGGCATCTAAGTTTGAGGTCCTCGGGCTGGTTTGACCCCCTCAATGTGCAAAGAGGAGCAGAGGCCCTGGGTCCCGTGGTGGGTGAGGGGCATTCAGGACTTCAACCTGGGACCTGTTTTTGGTAGGTGTCCTGGGTATTTCTCCCTGGCCCTGACGTCAGTGTCTGGCCTGGGGACTCCTGGTGGGGCGGGGGGTCCCGTGGGATCCCCAAGGCCTCTCCCTGCGCAGAGGGACAATCAGCGGCTCCTTTTCTCTCCCTCCACCCGCCCGTCCTCCTTGGTTCCTGCAGAAACATCCGCCGAGGAAGGTATGACCCGACCCAGCAGGGGGCAGTGTGATGCCGGCCACGCCATCCCTCCCGCTGTCCTTGTCTCCATCTCATCTGTCACCCGCGTTCTGTTGCGAGCAGGCTGCTTCCCCACCCCTGCTGCCAGCCTGTCCCGGCAGGGATGGGAGAGCCTCGCTCTGGAAAGACGGCCTTGGCCCCCTCGAGCCTCCCGCCTGCCCACCCGCCCGTCCACCCTCTCAGGCCGCAGTCCAGCTTCTGCCACCCTTGCTCCGGCCAGGACCCCCCGGCCAGGCAGACCCTGGAGCTGTGCACCCCGCCGTCTCCACCCCCGGGAAGGGGGCCTCCCTCTGCGTCCCATCCGTTTTGTCCTCCATGTCACCACTGTCTGACCCCTGCCAGATCCCGTCCCTGGCCAGCCTGTGAACGGGGCCCAGCACGGAGCTCCAGGGCCCAGCGGGGGACTCTCGCCTGCCTTGGCTCACCTCCTCCTTCGTGCCCCCTCTCCGTTCCAGGTCTGGAGGGGCCTAAGTGCCACCCTCTCCCTCTGATGCTGACACCCACCGTTTCGGCCCTGAACCGCGAGGCTGCCCCCGCCGGCCACAGAGGCAGGCGCCATGCGCATGGTCTTCCAGGTCCAAACCCCTCAACTCCGGCTCGTGGGGCCTGGGTGGGGGTGTGGCCCTGGGGCTCGCGCCACCTGGGGGGCCAGGCCTGGAGGGGTTTCCTCCTGGGCCCCGCCCCCTCGGCCTCGCACTCGCACACTGACTCTCCCCGTGTGAATGTAGCTGCCTTCATCACAATGGCCCCGGCTGAGGCAGGGCCAGGGAGGAGGCGCCCCAGGCGGCCACCAGCAGACCAGGCCTGGGACGGCCCCTCCGCACACCTGGCAGCTGGAGCCAGGGTCCCAGCTCTCCGGGGCTTCTGGGGAAGGGGCTGACATCTACGTTTTTAAAACTTAACTGATGAATGTAACCTTGGGGGTGCCGGGGCCAGGGCCGTTGTGGGGACGTCTGACCTTTGCAGGAGGGTCCGGGGGAGCTGCAGCGTGTCCTGCCCCAGCCCTCCCTGGCACGATCACACTGGAACCCTGCTCTGGGCACAGGCGGGGCCGGGGCCTCCCTGCTCACCCCTCACCCCCAAGCCAAAGCTGCCTGCACTGTGCCCAAGGCCCAGGTCATGGGCGCGGCGACTTCACTTAGTCCCAGACTGTCTCCGATTCCAAAACGACCACCCTGCTGTCCCCGCCAGGATGCATGTGTTGGGGGAGGGGGTTCCAGAAAATAGAGCCCCGGAAATAAACAGGGACTTTCCCCCTTTCAATAAGGGTGATTCTGGGGCAGACTCAGAGTCTGGGTTCCCCTGGTGTGGCCTGGAGGCCCCGGGCTGGCCCGTCTCTCCAGGAGGACTCTCCTAGGTAGGGAAGTCCAGGGGCGGCCAGGACCTAGGGTGTCCCAGAGGAAGCAGGGAGGGGCGGGTCTCGTGGAGGGTCCTAGGCATCTAGAAAAGTCCTTAAGGCCCTTTCAAATCCCTACTCCCATTCCAGGGCCAAGCGTTAAGTTTACAGAGGTTCCCCGCTATAGCCTCTCCTGCCCTGCTGTGGCCAAGCTCGAGAGACAGGCCGTGGGCAGCGGGCCTCAGTCCTCCCTCAGACGGTCCTGCCCGTGCCTTCCCTCGTGTCCCTTGCTTGGGATGGGGGCGCTCTGGCTCCTTGACCCCGAAAGCTGACAGGGGCAAGACAGGGCCAGCGACTTTCTGGAGGAAAGCCACAGAGGGATGGAGCCTGCACCCAGCGGGGTTCTCAACACCCAAGGCTTCTGGGGGTTCCAGTCTGTTTGCGAGGCATCAGTGAGGCCCAGAAACTTCCCCCTGATGATCCGCACCAGCCTCGGGGCGGACAGGGCCTGGGACCCACGGACACCCTTCTGGGTGACTGATGCTGGCGCTAAACTCCCGCTGGCGCTGCCTGCCCATGGGGGGCTGAGCGGGCGCCTCTGGCCAGCCTGGAGTCTCCAGCCCCGGGGCGGGGGCGGGGCCGGGTCTCGCACTCTGGCCGTGATGTGTTGCTCACGACAGCAGTGCGTCTGGGCACACGCCTTTGGACCCGCCTCGGCACGCGGGCACCCCTGCACGCAGCGGGCGTGTGGTGGGCGTGGAGGATGTGACTTCCTGTGACTGGTCCACCTTGGCTCCCAGCGGTCTGCATCCTCTGGCCCAGCCCTGCTGCATCCGGCATCCTGTACAGAAGTCATCCGGGCTGGGCGGGGAGGCTGGCCAGAAACACCAATTAAAGATCATGTCCTGGGGCTTCCACGGAGCTCGCACTGACTGGGTCTCTCCTGTGAATGGCTGTCCCGTGACGCACGTTCCCTGCCTGCCCTCTCCGGCCCTGGAGGGAACATGATGACTGGGTGGAGGCACCTGGGGCTGGCTGGGCAGCTGGGAGGAAGGGGTGCGATTTCCCATCCACAGGGTGGAGGCCGGGCCCTGCCTGCTTCAGCCAAGTGGGCAAGGTGAGCAGGAGAGCATTTACCCAGAGGCGGGAGACCCAGTTTCCCTTTATTATTTGAGTCGGGATCTCACTCCATCACCCAGGCTGGAGTGTGGTGGTACGCTCACAGACACTGCGGTCTCCACCTCCAGGGCTCAAGTGTTCCGCGTTCCTGCTTCAGCCTCCCAAAGTTCCTGGGACTACACAAGTGCACACCACCAAGCCTGGTTACTTTTTTTTTTTTTTTTT